CAAAGTAAATCTCATCCCCACAACCATCTGCAACAGCACTGCCTGGTACAACATGAAAATCCACTACAACAACCTCTGTGCTGGGCACGAGGAAGGAGGCATTGACACTTGCCAGGTAACAGAAGAACAGAGCTGGAAGGGACCTTGGAGGTCTTCTAGTCCAGTGGTTCCCAAACTGGGCCATTTTAAGTCTTGTGGAGTTGAAGCCCACAAGTTTTAAAGTTGCCAAGTTTGGGAACCACTGGACTAGAAGACCTCCAAGGTCCCTTCCAGCTCTGTTCTTCTGTTACCTGGCAAGTGTCAATGCCTCCTTCCTCGTGCCCAGCACAGAGGTTGTTGTAGTGGATTTTCATGTTGTACCAGGCAGTGCTGTTGCAGATGGTTGTGGGGATGAGATTTACTTTGGCTTCTTGCAGGACATCCGAGGTGTCCTTTGGCTCTGCCGGCAGAAAAGATTTCTTTATTTGCTAACTTTATCTATCACACTTACTTGCCTCCTAATTTGCTGTGAGTCCACTCTAGGCGGCTGACAATAACAAAAAGGGAAATGAAAGGCATGTAAACAGAAGCAAAATAATGATGATGATGATGATGATGATGATGATGATGATGATGATGATGATGATGATGATGATGATAGGACCATAAAGTAAACAGTGACAAAGGAACACATGTTCGCCAGAATAAACATCACAGGTGACACTTGCCTACACAATGTCAGCTTGTAAAGCATTTCCATGTCTGTTATCAAGTTGACATTGGAGGAAAGTGGGGAGAGAAATCCACGCGTACTTTCGACAAGGGTCGGATCTCAGATTTCTCCAGCAGGCGTGTGAGGCACGAAATTGTACAACCTGCTGCAGCACCTTCTTGGCTAATGTGATTTATGACACAGACTGAGGGGAGGAGAGAAACGGGGGTAAAGTTCAGCCATAATTAAATTGAGGTTAGATCTGACTCCACACGGGTATTGCCGAGATGTTGTTCCTAATAAATGACTGGATTTCTTTTGAAACTTGGCTCGAGGCTCATAAGTTAATCTTTTGGAAACCTGACACACAAGCCTATTCCCTCAAGCGTCACCCTAGAACAGGGGTGTCAAACACAAGGCCACATCTAGCCCATGGGGGGGCGGGGGGTTAAGAACTGGCCTGCGGGGCCACCCTGGCCCACAGTGCCTCTGCCAGCAAAAACAGAGTATGCATGGGGAGGGGGCTGGGCGTAGTCCTCTGGGGCCCTGTTTTCAGCCTAGGTGGCCTCCTGCTGCCCTCTCCACTGAAAATGGAGCCCAGGGGAGCACGCCCACTCCAGCCACTCCCCCCCCCAGTTTCCCCTCCCCCAGGTCAAACACAACCCTCGTGTAGTCCTCAATGAAATCGAGTTTGACACCTCTGCCTTAGAATCAGCATGTACACACTTTCACACCAAACACACGCTCTTTCGTACCCCATTCTCTCTGTAGCTACCTTCACAGCAAATCCCTTGGAATAAATCTCCTCTCCTTACAACGTGTCTGGACTTCATTTTGATTTGCTCCTGCCCCAACCCCGGCTCGAGTTGGAACCCCAAATTATTATTCTGATAAAGGTTCTTGTTGGGGGAAGATCTCAGAGAGAACCGGGCGCCTTCTGGCTGAGATCTTAAGAACATCCGTTTGTGTTTGAACAGCTTTCCAAGATCTCAGGCCTGGAAGGACCAGAAAGTCCCACCAGAGAAAAGGCAGCGTCTCCTGTTGTGTTGTGACAAGAGACTCCTCCTGGATGGACATGTGTTGGCGCACTCACTTGAGACATCTGTCACTCCCCAGCCGCTGATATAGCAGTGGGTCAGCGATGAAATCTCCAAGCCCACGTTCGGCAGGCAGGCAGGTTGGATGTAGTCACTGCAGTTGATGGGGTGGCTCAGCTCCATCAAGGCCACGTCGTTGAAGTGGGTGATGCGGACGTATTGCTGGTGCTCCACCAGGTTCTTGATGGTGCGTTCCTGGACATCCGGGCCTGGCCGAGAGAGCTGAGCGGCACCAAAGACCAGCTTCCAGTGTTCTAGGCGTCTGGAGCAGACAAGGAGAAGGGAGGCTGCGGCCACTACGTATGGAAAACTGTCGTCCCCCCCCCCTAAAAAAAGTGGGATTCAACCAAAACTACGAAAGGGGGAGAAGAGGGTGGAGATAGTTCGTGGGCTTCACTATAAGGTGTTGGGAATATTTCAGCTATAAAAGAATCGGCTACAAAAGAAGAAGAAGCTGAATCTGTGTGTCTTTGGCTTCTGGGGAGGTGCGCAGACCATCCGTTTCTCCACTAAAAGTAGATTGGGTCCGACAGCCCTACTAACTACTCAACCTCCAGCCCTATTCTTCTGTGCATGTGCAGAGTGTCTGCGATGACATCTGGGCAGGTGGGCGGAGCCCCCCACCAGCACCTGAACCGGNGGCAATGAGGTCTCTGGCAGCGTTTCAAGGGAGATAAAGATGGGTACTTATGAGCCTTACCCTGAAAGACTGTGGCAGACTCCTGTCGGACTCTTCACAGACCGGTTGTGAATCATTACGGGCTGAGAATGAACATAATTTAAATTAAAAAATGGGGGGTTGGGGAGTAAGCGTGTGACTTCTACTGTCTCAGGAAGCCTCAGTCAGAACAGAACAACTGCAAGTAAGACCTGATGTATCTCACGTGGTGGGAGGCTCACCCACCTGCCCAGATGTCATCATGGATGCCCTGCGCTTGCGCAGAAACCCCCCGTGCATGAGAGAAGCAAGCGTGAGTGCGCGCATGCATGCTCCCGGTTCCAAATTGGTAGCGCAGGTAAGTGTTTTCCATGCCTGCCCAACACTTCACCTTTTTCTAGGCTAAAAGTTTAACAATTTAAACCAGTGTTTCTCAACCTTGGAGACTTGAAGTCCACAGGACTTCAAGTCTCCAAGGTTGAGAAACACTGGTTTAAACCATTAAATTTAACCATTAACCGCAGTGCCGTCTTTCCTTTTTAGCTGGATGTTGGCCCCAGAAAGACAGGATGCCGATATTTTAAAGGACGTAATAAATGAAGATTACGGTGTAGTGGAATAAGCCGTGCGATCCATTAGAAGAAGCACCACTTTATTGCTAATATAGAATTAGAAATCTTGCTCAAGAGAAGACCAGCCCCGGGAAGGGTGCAGCCTCTGGTCTCCTCTTTCAGATAGCCGGCAGGCCTGAAGGCAGCTACTAAACGGTCCAGGCGTCTCCTTCTCCAGGTAGGCTCTCCCCAGGAGTCCTCCAAAACATCAAGGCCTCAGAGCCAAGCATCCCAGCCAGTCCTGCAGCAGGGGCTGTTTTACTACTGCACACCGCCAGCATCTGTTGTGTCTCGTCTCTCTGTTCACCTCAGTCTGTTGAAAGGCTACTATCTTCTCTTGGGCAACCCAGCTGGGGACCTGGAGTGGGAGGGAGGGAGGGGACAGCCCCCCACCCCAAACTGTGTGTTCTTAAAGCTTGCTTGACAGGTGGGAACGGAAAGGCAGAAAACGACCGGCTAATTATGTAGTGTGGGCACTCTCGCTACTTAGGGGACCTGTTCCATCGGGAGTACCAGAGGTAATTCAAGGGCGTTATTGGGCGAGGCCATTTCTGGGCATGCCACACCAAAGGGACATTGGTTTGAAGGGGAGGCCTGGCCACATTCCAGTTTGGGTAGTATCCACCGTAATAGGGAGGTCTTGTCCTGGTCACAGCCACGTTGCCCCACATTTGGGGCTGCTGTGGACCATATCCTTGCCAAGGCATTGCGGGGGGCCTGGTTCTGGGGGGAGGCCGGTACACTGGAGCCCAGCCTTGGTTCCAGTTCTGCCCATTCTGTGACCCCCAGAGGGACGGCGTCTGAACAGGAAGTAGGGGCGGGGGCATTGCCGGCATTGTTGGTACGAGTGGCTGTGACAACAGGTGGTCCTGGGGCCAAGGGATGGTGAACGGTGTGGTGGGTCGCGTATTAGGACTTGTCTGAGCTGCGGCCCAGTTCTCGTACTGTTGGATTTCGTTTGCGGAAGATGGCCTTGAAGGAGGCATTGTTGGCCTTGGCCTGGGTTGAACCCAGCTCTCAAGCTGCTGGTTTGCGTGAGAAGGGCGCGTTGGTTGCCACAGCTGATCAAGTGGCTTTTCTGGGGGTCCCATTTTGGGTGGGCGAGGAGTCTTGAAAAAGTTCTCCTTGGTCACGTCTTTGATCCAGTTCAGGAAAAGCTGCGTGGAGGAATAGATGCCTGGCCTCATGGCCCTGGCACAGCCAGCCCCCCAGCTGGTGACACCGACAAGCCAGAAACGCTCGGACCTTTGTTCCCGACACATGAGCGGACCACCACTGTCACCCTGCGGGAACAAGAAGGGGAAGAACATCAAGGACAGTACTGACAGGTACAAGGATTCAGGAAGCCAGGCTGTTCAAGCACCTACAAGTTTAATCCGTGTTAGTTCTCTACAAGAATCTGATCTACTAACGATCAAGGCAAATTGGCAGCAGATAAGAGTTGAGGAGGACTGGGCTTAGATTTCTGGTGGGTGCAAAGGCAGCTGGCAGTCTCCCAATATCCTGAGGGGCTGCCACAAAGAAAAGGGGGTCAACCTATTCTCCAAAGCACCCGAAGGCAGGACAAGAAGTGATGGAAACTAACCAAGGAGAGAAGCAACCTGGAATTAAGGAGGGATTTCCTGACAGTGAGAACAATTAACAAGTGGAACAGAAGTTGTAAGCTGCTCCATCGCTGGAGGTTTTTAAGAAGAGACTGGACAACCATTTGTTCGAAACCACTTGGCTTTAGTAAAAGTATTCCTTTCACTGCAACAGGTGGAGTTGAGGGTCTTTCTTTCCTTAAGGCCCAAGTTGGGACAAGCCTGACAAATGGCACATGGTTGTGATGGTGAACCTATGACATGCGAAACGAGGCGTTGCCCTGTGACAGCTCCAGCATGCACACACACACTGGTGAGCTGATTGTTGGCCTTCCAGGGGGCGGGGGAAACCGTTTTCGCCCTCCGGAGCCTGTGGATGGCAAAAAATGGCCCAACGGGCCTACCGGAAGTCCGGAGGCTT